TTAACCAAAGCTGCAACAAAATATATTTTTTTTAAAAATATCAAAATTATGTTTAAAATTAATAACAACCCTTCTTCTAAACTACTACCTCTATTCTATTAATACAAACAAATCCAATATCTAAAAAACCACTTTAACTCTTCAAACTATCATTCTTTATTTTAAAAATACTAAACAAATTATCCTAATAATTTTTAACAAACAATATTACCCCCTCTTAATCAAATTAAAAATGAATTTATTTAAGTTAAAACTGCTCTTAACTATCATCAACAACAAATAATTTACAAAGATATTAAACAAAAAATAAAAGAATGTATCCAACTTTACACAAACTCTTTTAAACTTTTTTACAAAAAAATTCTTAAAAAACAACATAGCTTACATATAAATTAGTTATTACTAAATAATACACTTCTCACTAATTATAATGAAATCTGCTCTGCAATTCAACAACACTTTACCAAATACTTCAATAAAAAACCCTTATCTACAATTTCTTCATCTTCTGAATTTTATAAACTATATTAACTGCATCCTAAACTTGAAACTTATTATCAAGACCTTTTCCAAAAAATAACATACCAAGAATAGAATAATACTATTACTAATTTACCAAGCCAAAAAGCTGCAGGTCTCTTTAAGATTTGCTATAAACACATCAAATATGCTAGCTCTCAATCTCAAAAACTTTTTCAACAATTCATAAACAAATGTCTTCAACTATAAAAAGTACTTATTGCCTGAAAATTTTTAAATTTCTTTCTAATTTCAAAAAAATTTAACTGGGATTTTACTCTTAATTAAGTTCATCTAATATCTATTATCGAACTTTTTAAAAAAACTCTTACAAAATCTTTACTTAATGCTTAAACAAAATTATTTCATCTAATAACCTACTTTCAGATCTCAATTTTGCTGTAACCAAAAACTCATCTACTCACATTCCTATTTAAATTCTTTACAATACAATTGAATACTACAAACTTTATAATAAAGAAGTCTGGATTCTTTTTTAAGACATGTCAAAAGTATTTGACAAAATCAATATCCTCTGACTTTAGGACTCTTGTAAAAGAATTGGTATTTCAAAAAAAGAAATAGATCTAATTACAGAACTACATACAAACTGAACTGCAAAAGTCATTACAGCTTATGAAATCTCAAATTCAGTTCATCTAAAATCTGATATAGAACAAGGAAAAACATACTTTCCATTATTATAAAAAATATACTATAATCATATTCTAATCTTTATTTACAAAAATATCATAATTATCTACTCTATATATTCTCATTATTACTAAAAGATCTTATACAAAATAACAATCCTACATCTATTACTATACCTTCTCTCACCTTTATAAATAACACTGTATGGCACTGTGAAGATTCACAAACTCTACAAAATATTTTTAATGATACATCCTTACTATATCAACTTAATAATATTAAAATCAACCTAAATAAATCAGATCTACTATACATATATCCAAAATCTTACAACATATTCTCCTTTCTATTATCTTTTAACAACCAACCAATTGTATTAAAAAAACCTAAAGATATAATTAAGTATCTTAAAATATATTATGATGAAAATAGTACAACTAAACCTACTATAGACATAATCAACAACAAAATTAAAAACTTTTTTCAACTTATTAAATACAAGAATCTTGTACTATTACAAATATCTTTTCTTTTCAACCTTGTTTTACAACCTTCTCTTGAATATCTTTTTCAAATTACTACTATTAATACATCAAATTAAACCAAACTTTTAAGATTCCTTTTATTCAAACAAAAAAGATGCTTTCTTTAGCAAAAAACATCAACAATATTATCTTTACTAACTCACTTATCTTCAATCTTCTAACACTTAACAACATTATTTAAAAAGTTAGTGCATCAAATATCAAACAGATCTTTAATTCTAGTACACTTTTTCACAATATTGGAACCATCTGCATTAAATTATAATTGACTAAAAGTGTATCCTGAATTATCAACTAATATACTTATTAAACACTATCATAAAATACATAACTATATCTTAATATTCCATCTTTTACAACTCACAAAAAATAATATCATACTCTCCAATATTACACAAATCTCTAATAATACCACAATACAATTAACTAATTCCCATCTAATATATGGGGGCTTTGCAATAAAAAGGGCGGAAACCACCCCAAAAATGAAAATTGAGTTTTTGCCAAATTCGAATATAACTTGGCACGTGGAACATTTTTCAATTATAAATAAAATTCGATTTGCATAATAAAAATCGAGATAATACAAGATTTAAAAAAATTACACAAAATTAATCGGCATCTAAAAATAGTAAAAAAAATGATTGGTGATAATTAATTTCTAAAAATAGCTCTGTTAAGTTAACCTCAGAGCGTTGAAGCATAAGGAAGTATTGGACTATTAGATGCCGAAAGTTGGTGGAAAATCAAGAACTGGCTCTAATTATGGGTACCAGTTTCTTTTTCTTATTTAAAACTAGCCCTTTTTTTTTTTCTTTAGATCTTAGATTTGTTAAAATACAGAACTACTGAAAGTTGTACAGTACAGTACTGTTTAAGTATCAGTTTTTTTTTTCTTATTCTGTGTTTAATTTTTTTTCCAATAAGCACTAACTTTTTTTTTCTTGTAAATTTAGCTTTGTTGGAACTTTAGATTATACATGCGTAGAATTAAAAACTGGTCCACTGTAGTGATAAGCAACCAGTTTTTTTCATAGATTTGGCTTTGTACTATACTGAATATTGGAGATTAGTAAAAAGTTCCGATCCAGCTTCTTTTTTCTTTGTGTCTGATTTTTTTCAACAGCCATTAATAGTTTCTTTTCTCTGTAGGCTCAGGCTTCTTTGGAGTATGATATTAATACTGAACAATATTAGGTACTGGAACTTGCATTTGGATAGAAGTGAGAACCAGTTTGATGACAAATTTAAGTACTCAGTTTTTGTTTTATTATTTTTTTATTTATTTCTTTTTTCTTAATAGGCACTAATAGTTTCTTTCTTTTGTAGGTTTGTGTTTTGTTAGAATGCAAAATTATCACTAAATAATACAATACTAGCAGAGAATTGAAAACCAGTCTAATGATAAGTACCATAAATGGCTAGATACAAGACCTGGGTCTAGTATACAGCTGAGAGCTTATGTCCCTAAGAAGAAAACTTTGAAGAGCATACACATTTTGCATTTATATTAGGTAGTCCAGATATCTGAAAAACTCAGGTTTAATTAATATAGATCCTATAAACTGCATCTAGATATACTACCTGGTGGGTCTACTATCTAAGGGGATCTTGTATTCGGCTATTTACAGTACTAGTCTTTTATCTTATCTCTGTGTTAATTTTTGTTTTTTAGCAGAGACTAATAGCTCTTTTTTTTTGTAGATCCAGGCTTAATTAAACACAAAATTAACTTTAAATAATACTGGATACCGGAGATTGTATCTTGGTAGAGTATTGAGAACTGATTAAATAATAAGTATTAGTCTCTTCTTGTTTATTCTGTTTAGAATTTTGTTTTTCTTTTAATATGTGCTAATATTTGCTTTTTTTTTGTAAATCTAGATTAGAAATTGGACTTGTTGAAAAAATATCTACTCGAGTATTATTAATTACCCAGATTATTCGTATAAATTATTATGCATTTTAGGTAATCATACAGTAGGGATTGGATCTAGATAAAAATTGTTACTATATGATTACCTGAAATACATAATAATTTACCTGAATAATCTAAATAATTTAATAATACCCAGGTAGGGATTTTCTCAACAGGTTCAATCTCTACCATACTGCAACAATTTCTACCTGGGTTCAATCCCTAATCCAGATTTTGTTAGATATGAAATTAGCACTAGAAATATTATATGAAGTTGGGTGGAAAATAGAGGTGCAGGCGAATCGTCCCAATGATGTTCCAATGATATTATGACTTAAGCCATAACTAGCTAAAGCTTATATTGTAACTAGTTACAGCAATCATTGGAACGATTTGCCTGCACCTCTAGTGGAAAATTAACAGTTAGTCTAATGATAAGTTCTAGTTTTTTTTTTCTTATTTTGTATTGTTAGTTTTTTTTCTTAAATTAACATTTTTTCTTTTGTTTGTTTGAACACAAAATCAACAAACAATATTAGATACAAAAAGCTGTACTTTGGCGAAGAATTGAGAACTGGTCTAATTAACAAGTTCTACAATGGATCAGTATAACTAGAGGTCCAATCTGGATAAATTCGTCATTCATTTATCCATATCTGAATTTATTTGGATATTCATCTACTATAGGTATCTGGATATCAATAGTAAAACAAATATCTGAATAAATTCAGATTTGGATATCCAATGGATAAATAGATAAGTGGATAATGGATGGGAACTCTAAGTATAACAGGGCAGGATGATCAAATTAAGAGTATCGCATAATTGTGTGTTGTCACAATGATTAGCATAAAAGGTGAGATGATCGAATTAAGGGTATTGCATAATTGTGTGTTGTCATGATGGATTAGCATAATAGGTAGGATGATCGAATTAAGGATATTCATAATTGCATGTAAAGATTGGACCTGGGTAGAAATTATTGCTATATGATTACCCAGGTAAGGATTTTTTCAATAGGCCTAATTTCTAATTGAATATTATCACAATAGATCAGAATAATGAATGAGTCAATCGAATTGAGATATTATATGATTGTATGTTGTTATGGTATATTAAAGTACACATAATAGGTGAGATGATCGAATTAAGAGAATCATATGATTGCAAACATATTAGTATAGCAGCTGGAATAATCGAATTAAGAATATTGTATGATTACATGATGATATGCAAAGATAATTTATAATAAATTAGTAATAGTTTGATTAAAAATTTATATAAATGAATTTTTTAGATAAAAAATTGTAATTTTATTTAATTAATAAATCTTTTATAAAAACATTTAATAAACTTCTTTAATTATGAGCTCTATTTCTATGTTATGTGATAGTATTTTTAATAATACACATCCAGAATTATTATCATTACATCAACAAGTAGAAGAATTTCAAACAATTTATCAGTCTGATGTTGAAGCAATATCTAATAATCTAATTGAACAATATTCTTATAACCAAGAAAAATTAGATGAATCTATTATATCAGATGAATCTAATTTAAATGAACCTATTTTAAATAATGAACAAATAGATAAATTTAAAAAGATTTATTATAAAAATAAAATTGAAGATAATGAAAGTAATAATGAAGATTTAACTCAAAAAATTAAAAAAAAAATAGAAAAAAAAAATGAAGAAGCTCAATATAAAAAATTACAAACTACAGTATATTGTAAAGAAATATGTTTTCAAAATTTAGTTTTTCATGAACATGCCATTTTAACTTATCAGAAATTTCAAAATTTAAGTAATAATGAAAAGGATTTATTTTTATTTGGAATATTATCTGCAACTACTCGACAAAAAACTACTACTACAGGACAAAAACATAGCAGACTTGCTAGTAAATATATATTTAAAGGAATAGAAATTTGTAGTGATGCATTTTTAATAATTTACAGAATTGGAGAAAAATATTAGAGAAATATTAGAGCTCATTTTATTCAACAAGAAATTAGTCCAAGAATACATAAATTAACTAGAAAAATTAGTAATTTTGCTATATCATTTGAACCAATTTTAAATGTACTTACTTTTATAATTAATTATGCAAATATTCATGGTTTACCTTCACCAGGTATTTGTTTAAATTTTTTTTAATTTTATATTTTAATAAATTAATTTAATTTTTTAATTAATAAAGGACGACATTTTTCTAAAGATACTTTACCAATAACTTTTCTTCCTGCAAATAAAAGTTATTCTTCATTATATCAATTATATATATCAGCAATAGAAAATCAAAATCAAAATATATTTCATTTAAGTACTTTTTGGCGTATTTGGAATAAATATATTCCAAAAATTAAATTTTTATCACCTCGAAGTGATTTATGTTATAAATGTAAAAATATGAGATTTAATTCAAAATATTGGAATGAACAAGAAACTGAAAAATATATAACTGAATGGAATCATCATATTTTATGGGCACAAAAAGAAAGAGAATATTATAGGTATTTATTTTATTTTTAATAAAATTTTAAATATATAATTTAAATTTTAATATAATTATTAAATTTTAGAAATTGTATTCAATCAGCAAAAATTAATTTACAACAACTATCTAATTTTTCTAATTTTTCTCGATCTAATGAACCAAATTCATTAAAAGTTGAAAATCATATATCATGGGATTATGCTGAACAAATAAAAATACCATATTCTTCACAACAAGAGGTAAATTTTAATTAAAATTAAAAAAAAAGTTATTTATTTTTTTAATAATATATTATATTAATTTTTTAAAAAGGGAACTATATATTTTAAATCTTCTTATAATATTCAACTTTTTGGAATTTGTGAAGATGCATTTCCAATTCAAGTAAGTATATTAGCATTTAATATTATATTAATATTTATTTTTAATAAATTTTTAATTTAGAAAAATTATTTAATAAAAGAAGAAGAAAGTATTGGAAAATGTGCAAATGCAGTTATATCATTAGTACATCATTATTTTACTTATTATGGATTAGGTGAAACCAATTTAGTTATTCATGCAGATAATTGTGCTGGACAAAATAAAAATAATGCAATGATTATGTATTTGGCTTGGCAAATTGCATGTGAATTACATACACAAATTACATATTTATTTATGGTAGCAGGTTATACAAAATTTAGCCCTGATGGATTTTTTGGTCTTCTTAAATTAAAATTAAGAAAATCAGAAGTTGATAATCTTAATGATTTAGTAAAAGTAGTAGAAAATTCAACAAATGAAGGTTTTAATCAAGCACAAACAATTTTTGATAAAAATAAAACTAGAGTAGTACATTTTTATAATTGGAAAGAATTTTTATCAAATTTTTTTAAGCCAGTTCCTAATATTTTAAAATATCATCATTTTATATTACATCAAAATAATATAGGTAAAATAGAAGTTAAAACAGCAATTAATGAAGATAAACAAATTATAAATATTTTAAAACCAAATATTAATATTACAGGATTTCTACAAGAAATTTTTCCTAAAGAATTATTAGCAGAAAAACAATGGTATTTATATGACAAATACATCAACATATTAAAGATCCTCAAAAACAAGATGAATATTGTCCATTACCAAAAATTCCAAAACCAAAAAAATTATAAAAAAATTACTAATTATAATTTGGCAATTTTTATTTGTATACTACTGTTGTATATAAAACACAAGTATGTATAATAACTTAAAATTCTGTTTATTAAACTACTTTTTAGATTCTAACAAAAAATAATCTATACAAAATATTAGGATAAATTACTCTCTAACCCAAACCTCTAACTCTAACCTATTCTAACTTAATAATTTAAATTTTTTCTTTAAATGTTATTTTACTTAATTTACAAATTATACCAGTACTTCATATATTAGTATAAATTTAGAAGTTTTCTTACAATTATTAAATAATAAATAAAACATAATTTAACTCAGGGCACAAAATTCTATTGTAAAATACCGGAGCTCCGTTTAGTTAAGTTGACTTCTGGCATAGTTTTAAAGTGGCCGGAAATTTTATAATATTAAATATATTGCAGGAGTTTCTAAATTTCGTTTACCGAAAAAAAAGCAGGTACATCACCTGGAAATTTTGTGCTCTGATCTAACTCCACATCAGGGTACAAAATTTTCGGGTAATGTAATCTGCATTTTTTTGCTTTTTTGCCAACAATATTCTTTTTAATCGGAGGTTCAGATATAATAGCCAATAAAATTTGTCTAAGTAGCATAAATTTTCCGGCTGATGAAAAGTTGAGCCAGAAATTGTCTTACGTAGACGGAAATCTCTGAAATTTTACAATAGATTTTGTGCTCTGCTTCACATTTTTATTTTATTAATTACATTTTTATTAATTACATTTTTATTACCTCATAGTTACATTACATTTGCATAATTTGATCATTTAATTACTAATTTATTTGTATTATTATTTATCATATCAGAATCTATCACGATTAAAATGATGATGATGCGGCAATATATATTTTTTCATGCACATAATATAAAAACCCAAAAATATTTTTAGACACTTGTTTTACGCTTTATAATTCCATATTGGCAACATCCTTAAATGAAAACCATAATATGCTCTTAAAACAAAAATAAAATCATAATTATTAGAATGGGACTTATTACAGGAAGCAAAAGCGAATGTTAGTGAATAGAAATACTTATGTAGTCTAAACCCATCCTGAATGTTTTGGATGAAGATACCTAGAAGAAAAGAGGCATTAATAAAGAAACTAAGAAAAATGAGAACAAAAACTGATTTACTATATCGTCCTAGTTCTCTTGAAGAAAAGTGACTTCTGCAAAAACGTAACCAAGCCTAACTTACAAGAGAAAACAAATATTAGCACCTGTTAAGAAAAAAGAAATTAAACACAAATAAATGAAAAAAAACTGGTACTTATCAATAGATTAGTTCTCAATTCCTTATTCAAGCACAATCTCTACTATTCAATATTATCTAGGGCTAATCTTGTGTTCCAATAACTTCCGGACTATGAAAAAAGAAAATTTAGTTTCTGATAAGAAAAAAAAAATTAAAAATACAATTGAACCAGTTTTCAATTCTCCATCTGAGTACAATCTCTGGCATCTATTATTGTCTGATTGACTTTTCATTTCAATGAAGCTGAAACTACAAAAGTAAGAAACCATTAGCATCTGTTGAAAAAAAAAATTACAAATAGAATAAGAGAAAAGAAACTGGCACTTATCATTAAACCAGCTTCAATTCCTCGCCTAAGTATAAGCACCAGTATCTAGTATTATCAAGTGTTAGTTTTATGTTCTAACAAAACCCAGACCTACAAAAGAGAAAAACTATTAGCGCCTGTTGAGAAAAAAAGAAATGAAAATACACAAAGGAAAAGAAGCTGGTACTTATCATTAGACCAGTTTTCAATTTCTCGCCTAAGTCCAAAATCCAGTGTCTAGTATTGTTCAGTGTTGGTTTTGTGTTCTAATGAGGCCCGGATCACAAATCATTAGCACCTATAAGGAAAAAAGAAATTAAAAATAGAATAAGAAAAAAAAAGAGAAACTAGTACTTATCATTAGACTAGTTTCAATTCCTGCCCAAGTGCAAGCTTTAATGTCTAATATTGTTCAACAAAACCGAACCTACAAAAGAAAGAAACTATTAATGCCTGTTAAAAAAATATATTAAAAATAAAATAATACAGTAGTAAAGAAACTAGTACTTAAATTTATCATTTTACCAGTTCTCAATTCCCACCCCGTGTACAATCTAATCTTTAGTGTCCAGTCTATGTGCTAATTTCACGCTTCAAAAAAGTCTAGGCCTATAGAAAAAAAAAGTATTAATAGGAAAAGAAATTGACATAAAATAACATAAAATAAATTAGAAAAGAGTAATACTTATCAATAAAACAGTTCTTAATTCGTGCCAAATACAATCTCTAATGCTGTAATGCAGCAATGTTAAAACCAAAGTACCTCTTAAGACGTGAAAAAAGACATGATCAAATTCTTGACGATTATTCGCAAATCTATTTTTAGTACCACAGTAAGAATATCCTATTTTTGTCTTGATTTGTTTACATATGATCAACATTTCAAATCCGATTTTCTCAAAATTATATATATTCGAGTATCCGCCCTTTCTACTGCAAAAGCCCTATATAACATACTTCCTTCAAACCCATCTATTTCAATGCTCAATAGTCTTAAAAATAATAAAATCCTCTATATCAAACAAATTACTACTGCTGATAACTTTTATTTTCTTTTTTGAAGCAATATATATCTATAAACAAACAAACTAATAAAAGGTTATCAACCTTTTTGGTTTACTCTTATCTAACAAACTGCATATAATAATACAATTCTTGCTATCTAGGCTCATCTAATTTTACCAACTATTACTTTTTTTTTTAAACTCTTTAAACCTTTTTTATATACTATCTAATCTTCAACACTTTTCGTTCTTTCAATTATACTATACAAATAACTTTAACATTATCTTTTTACAATATAATAATATTTAACCTTTTTTATACTACACAATAGACAACTATTCTATAAACCAAATCTATCTAAAACCAATTACCTTATTATCTTAACAAATTTTAACTGTTTTAATCTTTCTTATCATCAAATTAAAATCTATAATAACCTCCTCATTCTACAAATTGACTATAAAGAAATTTTAACTCTAATCTATATATTTACCAACCTTACTATACTACTTTCTAACCAATTACTTCTTCAAATAAACTTATATACTCATAATATTTAACTTATACAATAAACTACTAACTCTACCAACTATTAAAATTAACACATCAATCTCAACTCTCTCTTACAGAATTTACATCTAACTGAACTTAACTTCTATTCAGATGCTTCTATTCAAAACCTAAAAACACCTTTTATAAGGTCTGATATTAGATGGATCTGTAAAGAAAATACTTCAATCAAATTCAATACAGCAATCCAACTCTTTTCTGATTCTACTTACATAAAACTAATATTAATTATATTTATCTTATTTGTTATATTTTTTAATATCTCACTCAATATTTATATTGACAATCTAACAGCTATTAAAAATCTTACTTCATTTACCTTAACCAAATTAATTCAACAAAAAAACTGGGACATTCTGTTTATAATAACTTCTTAAAAACAATTAAAAATATTAATATTAACCTTATTAAAGTTAAATCTTATTCTACAAATTCATTTCACAATTAAGCTGATTCACTAACAAAACAAGACACTACAAATCTATTTTAAAAATACAACCTTCTTTCTTCAACCCTCTCATCTATTTCTTATAGAATAACTATCTTATCTTTCTTAAAATTTATTTATTTGTTAAAATATTATTACAATTAATGAACTTAACACATAGTAATCACTTAAATTCTTTAAAAATATCTAATATTGAATGGTCTCTAATGTTTAAAATATTAAACTTCTTTGAACATAATCTACAACTTTACTCTTTTTATATTAAAATTCTAACAAATAATTTACCCACTATGTAAAACTTAAATATATATTACCTATATTTATATACTACTCCAACTTGCTGTCAATGCTCTAATATAGAAAATACTTTACATATACTGCAATATAACAAAAACAATTTAGATATATAACAAATACTTCTTAATATGATTAATAATACTCTAACAATATTCAATATTTTATCTATCTTATCATTCATTCTTTTAAACACAATACTTCATTTTTATACTCAACACAACTAATTCACAATATTATTATATTCTAAATCTACTTATTGGCACTATACTCAATATGACTTTTTATAATATTAAAATACTTATAAATAAACAAACTACACCTCTTCTCATAAACTTATTTAATAATCTTCTATCCTGGTTCTTTAACAAAATCTGGTTCTTTTATAACATTGCACAACATCAATAAAAAACTGTCCATAATATTATTTCTAAAAGCAAACACAATAGGTTCTTCTTACCTACTATAACTCTACTATCTAATACAAACTCAACTACAATACAACTTAATAACAATTCTTTTAATATTAAAAATAGCTTTTTCAAGGTTACTCACTAACTTCCTGCTTTATATAATAATAGAATAAACACTTTAGGTTTCCTCTAACCTATTCTAGCTAGAAATTGATGAATTAATCGATTATAGCATTTATTAGGAAATAGAAGGTATAATGTCACATTGGGTGTCTTAAAAGAATATTCTTAATTAAGTAGCACAAATGTAGTTAGAAATCTTTAGTATAGAAAATTCTTCTATATACTTATAAAGTTTTAACTCTGATATTATATAAATAAAAATAAAAATAAAAAAAATTTTTTAAACTAATTAAATTGGAAAAAAAAAAGTAAAATAAAATTGAAACAGAATTTAATGATAAATTATAGTTAGAAAGTTGAGTTATAAATCTTGAAATACAATAATAAATTCAGATTTTGTGATAAATTTGTTGATTAAGATAAAATAGAAACTTTATAAAAGTATAGTAACTATTTTTTGAATAACAAATTAGTAACAATATTAATAAGTTATTTGGTATTAAGTCAGTTAGAATTAAAAAAACTGTGAGTTATTTAATATATTATGAATAAATATGCTATTTAGTAGTTTAATTTGATAATATAAGTTAGTTATAATATTAAATATAGTATTAAATAAAGTTGAATAAGAATGTATTATAATAAGGTATCTATAAAACTAAATAGTAATTAATTGAATGAACAAGTTGTTCAATAAAAATTGAAACTAATTTGATAATATTGGTAACAAATAAATAAATATAAATTATAATATTTCTTTAAAATATATAAAATAGAAAGTTTATTTGATAAGATTTTAACTTTAAAAAATTTAAGTATAAAAAACTAAAAATAATATAAAAAGTTTGAAATTTTTTAATTATTGTTAATATAAAGCTAAGTAGCTTGTTAGTTAATTTGATTAGAAATATTATGTTATTTTTAAAAATAGTTTTATATTATCAAAAATATATAAATATATAAATAATATATTGTATAAATACTATAATAAGTAAATAATTCTAAAGAAAAATTTTTAAAAGCAAAAGTGTAGTCTAAGTTGTAAGTATTATAAAATATAAAAATAAGGTATAACAAGTTGTAATACTTGTATATTAATTAATTAGTAAGATTGTTATATTTATTATCTTGATAAATAATAATTTTCTAAAAAATAATATAAATATTGTATAATTTAATAAAATTAATAATGTGTTTTATAATAAAAAATATAATATATATATATATTATAGTTGTAATTAAGTTAAAAAAAACTGTAATATTTGAAGATTACAAATTATGTATCTGTATATATATTTATAGTATAGTTTCTAAAAATAGTAATAAAAACTAATAAAATAACAATAAGCTCTAACTTAAATTAGCAGAACTAATAATTAGTTTGAGCTTAAAAAATATAAATACAAAGTTTTTTTTTAATATTAATAGTAAAGCCATGCCTTTATCTTTATTAAATATTTAATTAAGATTTTATATAAAGTTAATTTTTCTTTTAAAATATTATAAAAAAATAGAAGCTCAAACTAATCTATCTGTAACCTAAATCAACTAAAGTAGCCAATGCTTACTGAGATTTAAGTGGTAGTAATTATATATAGAGGATTATAAAGCTTTTTAAAATTTGGACTCATTCAATATCTATTGAGCATTATAAGATATTTAAATTTATAACTAAGTTATCTATATAAAAGTAAAGTTCTAATAAATTAATATTATAATTAATATTTTGTTAAAGATTGTTTAATAGATTA